GTAGAGTATCAAAATCGTCATTGCTTGAGGAGTCGGAGTCGAGTATGGGAGGAATCAAACAATTAAGAAAATTGAGGAAGAACGAGACACAAAAAGAACATATATGGTAGACTAAAAACTAGAGCATCCTAAGTCGAAGCTGGGAGCATTATATCAAGGTAAACATACACTACAAAGGAGAATCTTCAATACCAAAACAAATACGTTTATGTTTTACGCAAGCTGGAACCTTTAGAATCAGCTGGACCGATATGTTCAAGTTAGGGCGGCTTTGACTGATATTGACCAAGCCCGCCTAACCTAACCCGCTAACACCTATTCGTAGGTAGTTGGAGGCACCAAATGTCTAGGTGCCAATTAATCAGTCGTCTAGACCGATTTTTACAAGCTTTATATATATATATATATATATATATATATATATATATATATATATATATATATATATATATATATATATATATATATATATATATATATATATATATATATATATACCATAAAGTTAGCATGCTTGAACATTTAGTATGTCTTAGCTTGTTATTGTTTATTAAACTTTTAAAGTGATATTTTAATTTGACACCAAAGTACTTGAAACTATTGACATTTAAAATGAAACAGCTTTGATTCAATTTTGGATCAAATTTTTCAACATTAACTTTATAAATGTTATATACATTTTAAAGAAAACCTTACTTCTTTGAGCTCGTACAGTTGCGGTTTCAAACATCAACCTCTGGTCTTACCCAAAAATGATCCAAGTATGATCGTGATGATTTATCTAGATGAGATGATACTAAGATCGTATAATCATATATATAATCAATATCACGATTTTAACAACCTTGTTAGGAGCACGTCTTTAATTAAAAGATGATAGTAATTTTTTAATTAATATCTCGACAGATTATCAACATATATTAGATAACATTAAATTTTGTTGCTAGTCCATATGTAGTCCTTCTAATTTTTGTAAAAGCTTAGCAGTAGTAATTTTTATGTAAAAAGTGTGTTTGATTTTATTTTGTAATATTAAAAATTATGTATCAAAACATGTACATTCAACATCTCCTTTGCATTACACCAAAATTGTGTCACAATCATGTTCTAATATATAGAACCATGGAAGGCCCGACAAGGGTGTATGAGTTTGGTAGAAAACTCTTATTATTTTCCGTGGACTTAAGTCGTTCTTGCATTTTATAAAACTCTTTAAACTTCTATAAGTGGTCACAAGTAGTTTAGATATATCGTGGTAGAATCTAATGATTTATAATGGTGTTAAGATTCATGTCAGTATCTTGTCATCCTAAACCATACGTACTTCATAATAGAGGCATCCATTATATATAGGCAATTAAAAATCTATCCAAAAAAACAAATCACGCGCGGTAGTATCTTTTGATTGTAAATCACTAAATCGTATGTACCATATCTCTTTTCGAAAAAGTGGTCCTATCGCTACCAATGTGCGAGTAACATCAATAACAATAAACCCGATTGAGACATCGTAAACCATACAAGACAAGATAACCACAATAATCACATCTTTTTGGTATTATCAAAATGTGGTCCTTCAACGACGAACATGACACACCTTCAAGCTTTTTCTTCAAACAATAAAATATGTCCAGTGTTACAGACTAAATTTACATGCGATTTGAATAAGAATCTATTCGTAAAAAAAAGCACTTTATATTGGTCAATAAGAGCATATCTATTGTTAGAACATATTTATATCGATCTATGATAGACATAAACAATATTATAGCACTTATAATGTTCTTATGTTTTTCAAGCAAAGAAAACATTATACACACATCTACTCTGATATTTGTTAATTTTTCATTGCAAAGATCATAACTTTTACATTGTCAATGTATATAATATATCAATCATTATGGCAATAATACATAAACTAGATTTGCCACTAGGAAAAAGATGATCATACAAAAATAAAGGAGGGTTAGAATGTCTCCATCAAGGAGGGCCATAGTTTAACCTGCTGGAATCAACAAAATGTCCATTGCCATTGTCATCTCTCTCTCTCTCTCTCTCTCTCTCTCTATATATATATATATATATATATATATATATCTCTCTCTCTCTCTCTCTCTCTCTCTCTCTCTCTCTCTCTCTCTCTCTCCCCCTGCAAATTTCGTCTTTATCAAAACACTCGTAAGAACCCAATGCGTAGAGACCAAAAGGACCCACAATATACAAGTAGATATGTAGAGAGAAGGTAACATTAAAGATAGAGGACATTGAACAAGACAAAAAAACCATTCTGAATCGAAACGCTTAGATTTATGATCTGCTCATTGCTGTTGCCGTAGATCATCGTCTGTCAGATGTCTATAGTATTAAGAAACCTGAAAATTACCATATATTTATCTTTCTTCACATCATATTAACTAATATATGTATATATATCGTATCTAAACATGTATATTAATGAAAGTATGTATTGTAAGCATTTACATCGTATTCCAAATTAAATACGTCAAGAAATCAGAGCGAAGCTAAAACAATCTGATTATCATTCTTCAAAGCAATTTTGAAAAGTTAAAAAGTTGTGAAGTTGCCAAGGCGATGTAACTTGACTTATTTTCGTCCCGCAACTAAACTACATAAATCAGAAACCATTATCAACTTGTAGGAGTGATTAAGGATTATGGGGCAAGAATTTCTACCTCAAACTTTCTCAAATTAAACACACAATCACACATGGTTACAAACGTATTTACAACAACCTGTCAAGTGTAATTTATGTGAAAAAAAGACGCTGACAGACGCCTACTTTGCTATTGAGAAAAAAGAAAAGCATAAGACAAATTAAAAATAGGATTTCTTTAGGGCTATTAGTCTACATTAACTTGTAAAGTGATGATGCCTAGGGTACCTTAATCTAGATATGTTAGGACTTGATCAAGTCAAATTAAAAATAGAGATGTCTTAAAAATATATAGTCACACACCTCTTCTAACCCTATTTAAATATATAATTTTGGTGTCCCGCATTGGTCAATTCACGAGGAGAATTACTTGATGATATCCAATAAATCGAAGATAGTAGAGTCTTTTGATAGGTTTTAATTTTAATAGATAAATGGGACAATGTTAATAGGGTTCAAAGACTAGCAACTTACTTCAAACCACCACATGATTTACCTATGTTTTTTTAACTGAGGAAATTTTATTGAAAGACAAATCGCAACAAACTAGCGGGCAACGTATAAAGCACGATATAGGCCGATGACAAGCAATCCATGATAGCATATCGAGAACATAGTAGAGTTTTTTTATAGCTTTTTTATGGATAAATGGGACAATGTTAAAAGGGTAGAAAGAGTCGCAACTTACTTCAAACGACCATAGCATGTTATCCTTCAAAAGTTTAATTTGGAAACCCATTTTATATGGACAGAAAGCTATTAACAAAGTTGCTAAGGCGATTGCGCACCAGTAGCCAACCTTCGTTAATATAACCTTAATTTTTTGTTTATTACCCATTTATAGCTATTCAATTTTTTAAAGTAATTCCAATGAAACAAAACAAATATAACCAAAGGCAACACCAAAACAAACCTAACAACATTTAAGCAACACCAATAAGGAAAGATAACCATTAATCCCCAACCTACTTTGGGATTCATACTTTTATTATGATTTTTTTAAATGCAAAACACATTGCATATACCCATTATATTTTACTCTTAATATATATATATATATATATATATATATATATATATATATATATATATATATATATATATATATATATATATATATATATATATATATATGACTTAAGCATCTCAGGGGAAAGACACTTTTTCAAACTCCTTAGTACAATTAGGTCAAAGTCCATTTGACACTTCTATTATGAATTTAGTGGAAAGAGTTTAGCTAGGTATTTGATTAGAGAGATGAATTGTCTTTTTCAAACTCCTTAGTACAACTAGGACAAAGTCCATTTGACACTTCTATTATGAATTTAGTGGAAAGAGTTTAGGTATTTAATTAGAGAGATGAATGAATTGGAGAAACATATTATTATTTAGTGGATGAAACTCATTGTGATATACCATATTTATATTTAATGGATTTAAAGTTTAATCATCATTAAACACTTCAATTTGAAAAAAAAAATGTTTTTAAAATACTTAAATAAATATTTAATTATATTTTATTGAATTTTGTAGAGTTTAATAAATTGTAGGAATAAATTGATAGAGTTTTTGTAATATAGAATGATACTGTAGCAATATATTTATTATGAATGTCTTAAGTCAACTTGATCCCCATTACATAGCAAGCATCAAAATTTGCCTTATGGCGAAACCTTAATTATTTTGCAACTACGAAGTTAATTTTTCTTGTTTGACAAAGCACTAGGGTTTGGTTTAATCAAACCGTTTCTGTTTTCTTGATTCATGAAATTGAGTTTACTAGCGTATGATTGATCACAAGAACACTATATCAAAATAGAGTGATAACAAGTAAAATCAATTATCAAGATAACATTAAAAGGATGTAAACCCTTAACCAATAAAGTCATTTTCACTCACCTATAATAAAATATCATCGCAACCCTTTAATCAATTATTAAAAAACCCGTTATATTTGAAAGAAATATTCCATATAACATAAGAAAAACAGCAAATACTTAATCTCAAATTATGGGGCGTAAACAAATGTCTTCGCGAGCTTGATTTCTTTTGTATATATCATAATCATTATCAGAATCATGACCGATCAACCACTTATTAATTATTAGGACAATTAAGATTAGAGAAACCATAAAAAATTGTTTAAATTTTCATATCTTTTCCAAGTAAATTGCAACTAAGATATAGACATCTTAACAACTTTGGTAGTATGTCCCTAATCCTTGATCTTGCTTGTTGAGAAAATTCTTGTTCTGTTACGTGGATCTTTGCCTGTAATATTATGTGACAACATACATGTATCTTTTTAAATAACATAACATTCCAATTTAAATATATTTTTTGCATAATTATTTTATATAATAAGAAAAAACAAGAGTAGAAGTTTATTACATGAGCAAAATAAGAGGAAAATATACAAGGTACGTACTATACAATTAGACTAGGCCCAAATAAAATGCTCTATCAACACAATACTACCTTTATGATGTAAAATTTTATCTTTGGTGTTTCACTTGAATAAAACATAAAAACAAAAAGAAGAAAGAAATTTTAATTTATGAGCTTAATGGTATAATAATGGCCTAAAAAATTATTTTAAATTACTAGGTACCTTCTTATAGACATGTAATAATTTAACACCCACCAAAGTCTCTAACTGAAAAAGAAGTCTTCTCCGGTAGGTTTCCGGCGTGTCGTAGCCCTAGAGTGAGTGACACGTCACCCGCAGTGGTCCCAAATCTTATAAGCGTCGAGCCAATCTCCGTATCATCATCGCCAGCTGGCATGCTGCCACGTCGGCATGTATCCGCATCAAGTGTGGCCGGAAAAGATTGTTGGGTGGTGGAAGTGTTTCCGGTGGTAGTTGAGGTGATATTGATAGGAGTGTAAGAGTAGGACATGGTAGTAGCTTGGTTTTCCGAGAAGCAATTTTGTGTATTGATTGCAAGCACTGATGGGTCGTTTTCAGGGTCATTGATTTCGGATCTTTTTGCAGGTGTCGCTGTGGAAGTGGTGGTGTATGTCGAAGGAGGAGGAGGAGGTGGTGGCATCGGAGTTTGTGCAATTGCAGAGGAGGAAGGAGATGATGGGGGTCCATTTTTGTTTTGATTATTGTAATTAATGCTCGTTTCTAACTTATTTTCTTCATCTTGGTCGTCGTCGTCATCTTGGTGATGTTGATCACCCTCTTCTTTGCTTTCTTGTTGGTACATTTCCTCCACCATGGGTTTCCACAACCGGACCCTTGCATTTATGAACCAGTTCGACACCTGCAAAACACACACAGACACACACAAAAATACCATTAAACAAACAATTATGATATGACCATGACATGTATGACCAAAACAGATCCCAATAAATATAAATAAACTAATTAATGGCTTCGGGTTTTGTTTTTTAATACACTATTTTTGTTTTTATTAGCCTAAATTAATATATACAAATATCTATTCGTGAATTGAATCCCAAATCTCAGTTTATGCATTTACTAGTTTGAGCTTTGTTTACTTCATTTCACAATATATATATAAATTAGCATATGTTTATAAGTTGAAATATTTAGTAGAAATATAATCGTAAAAAGGACATTCTAGATTATATCCAAATCCAATGCTGCTTTGATTATTTATTTAATATTTTAATTTTTGTACAAAATTTATTGATACAAAAGACTAACAACGAGTTAGTCTAAAAATTTACAAATTACAAGAAATTAGATTTGGATTCTTATTAAGTCTAATTATCATTTACAATTGAGCATCATACACTTAACCTAGAATGAGTTGTGAATTCAAGTTGATCGGGTTCTCTGTTTTTTTATGATACATAAAAACGCAACAAAAACTAAAAATTATTATTTTTTCCTGATATAGAGCACGATAGTCTTGTCCAACAAGTATTTAGAAGGGTCATAGAAAACATAGCTTTCAAATAAAATTAGCATATTTTAGGCCTTCCGGCCAGACAAAGTGACAAACTATCGAGGATCTAGTGCCCTATGAATGAGTCGTGAATAATATATATATGTACACAAGGAGAAACAAGTAGTACAAAGAGATAGAAAAGTACGTATATATTTTGTTTAACACCGACGTACGTTGGATATACAAGATTAAAAGCCTTTCGTACGTAGACATATATATTGTCATCATAAACTGTCCATTGAGTAAGACTTCTGACTCCGACAGTCATTTTATTCTGACTTTATGATAAAGCCAATGTTGCTTTCCCATTATCTACTGTTCATCTCCCTCCAATTTCATGCAAATTATATATATATATATATATATATATATATATATATATATATATATATATATATATATATATATATATATATATGTGTGTGTGTGTGTGGAGAGAGAGAGAGAGATTATGTATATATAGAAAGAAATAAAGAGAGTGTAAAAAGGTATTTGTTACATATACACATGCATCTTAATACACTACACACGTAAATAAACAAATAAATAACATAATAATAGTCAAGTCATTCAAAAAGAAAAATTAGAAAAATGTTTAAACCTAATAAACTTCAACCATACTGTTTTCCGTGAAGTTGGTCTCATACATTGATAAAAATTGTATTTTCTTTAGATAACTTGAATTTTTAATATATAGTAATTAATGTATAAGAATTTACATATTTTTCTTTGGATTATTTTGTAAATGATAAGGTCAAATTAACCAAAAATCAAATATACACTTAATTAAATACAACGTGACCTGTCTTAAGCCAAGTAAAGTATTCACCTAGGTGGTATGTCACATCGTGTTTGGTCGAACTAGATTACGTTATCAAATTATATGCTAGTATTTTAAATTCTACAAGAAAGCGTGTTTCCGAGATTAATTTATTTTCATTAATGAAATACTTTGTGTCTCAAATTAACACAACGTTTCATACAAATAACATGTTTATGTAAAGATTATTCCAATAGAGGTTTGAAGGTTGTGCACTAAAAGAATTAAACATTTAAGCAAAGGCAAAATGGTTATAGACAAGAGAAGCACGAGAAAGCAAATATTTCATGTATACAATTACTCACACAGTTGCATTGTGCAGATAAGCTGTAAAATGAAATCACACGTCTTGTCTCAACTGTACTTCGATCAATTAGATGTACTGTCTTCTTCACTGCTCACAGGTGCAACAGCCTCTCTTTTTTTGGTACTAACCCTAGCTTATTTTTTTATTATTTGTTGTTGAAAGGATTGTTGTCTTTTATAAACGTACCAAATATATTTCTTTAAATATAGATAATAGTTCACAAAAGTTCATAATTTAAAGTAAAAGATGAAGAACAAGAAGCTAATATTATAGGGATTGCTGACAAAACAAAATATTAATTACTTAGCTTGGGATTTAAACTATCACATTTTTTAAGAATGGAATCCGTGTGTGACGAAAAAAATATTATTTTAATAATTTCAAACAGACATTTGGAACTTTCGTAGGGGTGTTGGATGTTCTCTTGTAGCCGGTAGGTATATTTTCTTGTTTCATTAATATTGAAATATTGATTTAGATGAACGATTTATAAATATAATAAATTTTAATTAAATATAAATGTTAGTGTATCAAATTATTTGTTTTGTAATATAAAAGGATATTATGTTTTAATAATTGTGTTTGGTTATCAATTTGATTGTTAAAATACTTCTTAAATTCACCAACTAAGGTAATGTTTAATTAAACCAATGAATTATAAATTGTTGGAACAAGATGCTCTAAAATCATATTCTGAAAAATCTAGTAAACCAATTTTATATATATCACCTTCCTACTATCTTATATACACGTTAACAAATATATATATATATATATATATATATATATATATATATATATATATATATATATATATATATATATATTCTTTGGACATATATACAATCTTGAAGTATTAATGGCCAAAAAAATAGCAGAAATATATATATTAAAAAAACAATAATTCATGCAAAGCCAATTTCTCGGAAGAAAGTGACGGTTTATCTTACTAATAATGGCTTTTCTTATCAGTGATTTATTTCTGTTCTATTTAATTTCTCCTATTCTTTATGAGCATTATTAAGATTTCATTATCAATATGGTAAGCTCAAACACGTGTGTGTGTATATATATATATATATATATATATATATATATATATATATATATATATATATATATATATATATATATATATATATATATATATATATATATATATATATATATATATATATATATATATATATATCAAGGTGATTAAGAGGGATAGATGGGAAGTTGAGTACGAACAAACCTGATTTCTGGACAATCCTGTTTGTCGAGACAAAAGATGTTTATCAGCATCACTTGGATACCTGAGGATCATTTTCAACACATTTAATTTACACATAAAACTTTCTTCCAATTCATTTTGTATTGATTATTACGTATATGTCTATATGCAATCGATAAATTCAAGAAAGAGAAGTGTTAAGTTGTATATATAGTTGCTTTTCACTAAAGAAACAGTCGACTTTTGACTTAATGGTGTTATAATAGGTAGTAGGTTTAAAAAGGCATCGGTCGACAATCACACTTATACACACACTCACCACTACTTTATATTTTAAGAAAGTAATAAAAGCTTTCAACAACACACACGCATCTTAATCTTTCTAATTTATGACCTCATCATTAACATCCATTCCTAATAATTGTTGGATAACTATACCAAGAGTTGAAAAACAACTGAAACTAAAGTTTCCATGTCTAATCATATTCTTTTAACTGTAGTTTAATTATCTTTATAACATAAAGCAGAATGAAGAAAAATAGAAAAAAGACTTACGGGTGTAAAAAGTGCTCGAAAAGCCAAGCTCTTAAAATGTTGACAGATCTTTCAGGTAAGCCTCTTTGAGGCCTCCATGCTTCTTGTTCCATCATTCCCATTTGATGAAATGCTCTTTGTTGTCTAAGGCTTTGTTCCAATAATTTAAGCCTTGGTGTCTCGCCTTTTGTGACACCAGAAGAACCTGCGTCTTTTTCTCCTAATACTTCACAGCTGTATTTCAATTGGGCAGCTATGGCGTCTTTTAGACAACGAAAATGACGAGACATGGCTTTTTGAGCTAAAGCTGTGTATGGAACTGCTGCCCCAAACCCCATAACTAAATCGAATGAATTCACCACCATTTGCATCTGTTCACAATAGTGGTTGTATCTCCGATCTACCTGCATTTGATATAATAACGACAAATGTTTAAAAGCGTGTCGTGTTTGTTTATTAGGAAAGAATCTATGTTGTTGATAATGGAAACAAGATTTGTTGTGTTTCTTGATGTCGGATTTTTTTTTTTTTTTTTTTAACTCTCAATACTTCCTATGTTTAATTGTTTAGGATTTAGATTACGTTTATTGAATAAAGTATTATGAAGTTGTTATTTATTATAATATAAAGAAATCTACTAATTTTACAATAATGGTATATATGAATTTTTCAAAAAAAAAAAAAAAAGACAACAAGGTTATAATGATTTCAGAAGCTAGAACCCTAATTCTTTAATCATAGATGACGATTATAGTATGTATGGAGCCTGTCACGTTTTACCAAATCGAAATGAAATAGACTTATTATTTTATAACTGAACTTAAAAAATTAAGAAAAGTAATGATGTTAGCATATTCTGTCAGTGAAAACCTATTTTGTTTTGGCCGGCTTTTGTCGACATACTACCAGTAGTCGCCGGAATGTTGTGCCGGCCCCAGCTGATATTCTGGAGAGAATGAGAGAGGGAGGTCGAGAGAGAGAGAGAGAGAGAGAGAGAGGAGAGAGAGAGAGAGAGAGAGATTTGCTTACTTCATCAAGCATGGAAGAAAGTTTGACCTTGCGTCTTTGATGTTCAATTCTCTCGGTAGATGACAAAGGAGGGAGATCTTTTGAGGAAGAAGAAGATGCACCACCACCAACGCCACCTCCTCCGCCACTGTTGGTCGGATTCTGATTTGGATTATTATGTTTTGACAAGGATTTGTTTTTTCTCAACTGACCTCTTCCGACGCTACAAAATTCTTCAAGCAAATCTTGAGCTGCCTTCACATATCTGGAATTTCGAAGCACTTTGACAACACCTAACGAAGAGGATCCGAATCCGATATGGATCGGATGGTGGGTTTGATTCATAACCCCACCTCCTCCTTGAATATGTAAATTCCGGTAAGGATCGCCACCCCCACCGCCGCCTACTTGATTGAAGTATAACATTCCGGCGGCGGCGGAATCATCACCAATTCTCAAGTCCTCAACTTTAGCTCCTTCCAGGTGCTGTAAAGTGGAAGATAATGATAGTGAAAGACCTTCGACTCCACCGACGCCTTCACCTTCATGTGATGTGCCACCAGGAGGCACCCATGTGAATTGAGTGGATGGACCAAAATGCCCTTGTCCAGCTCCTGTGCTACTACCGAAGCTTTGTTGATGGTGAAGGGTAGAATTGGCAGAAGAAACATTGTTCGGCATCAACATGTGAAGAGTTGAAGATGATGAAGGATTATGGTGATTATGATGATGGTGAGAAGGTGACTCTGAAGAAGGAGAGTCATGTGATGGGTTCGTCAAGAAAAGTTGCATGGCTTGAGCACTGTTACCATACCAATCTCTGGCGGTGGTTGGCCGCTGGTTACGGTGGTGGTGGTGTTGGTAATTTATCTGGTTTACCAACAATTCAGAGGCGGAGTTGAATCCACCGGATGGGAGATTGAACATCTCCGATAACATCCCAGCTCCAGACTCATAAACTGCCGGTAAACCACCGTGTCCGTCATCCACTCCTTCTAAGCCGACCAGTGACGGCGGTGGTGGCTCAAAACCTTGAACCCTCAGCTTATCCCGCCGGATCTGATCTTGAGCCGACGATCTCTCGAACCCATGTGAGAAATTGTAGATATAATCTTGTGACATAGAATTCAAAAGGTAGAAGTACCTTCTCCTCAAGTGCTTTTGATTTTACTACTTCCATATCACTACGATGTTCTTGAACATCGATGTCATCTTCATCTGACTTCAGACCCTATATTCGACATAGATTGACGATGAGAGAGATTAAAGACAAAAAAAGGGGGTAAAACAGAAAGCATCAAATGGGTGTTCCTTGATAGGTTTGTCAAATCTGATAAATTAAAACAAAGATAAAATAAAAAACTCTGCGACTTTTTATGAATTGAAAAGAATGAATACTATACTAACCTAACCTCTTATGTCTGGTGAAAAAGAGAGGCAGGAAGCAAAGCTCTCAGATATCGTTTTCGTCGTTCTTGAATTCACTCTCTCACTCTCTCTCTCTCTCTCTCCCTCCTTTTATTTCTCTTTTACAGTACTGAGTATTCTCTGCAATCGCCTTCTCGATAGAGAGAGAAAGAGACGAACTACTTTGTCAAATATATGACTATATACTAAATCAAAATTTTAGCGTATTTGATATCACCGGTTAGACGTTAATATCTTAAAAATCATGTATAGATTCCGAAATATATATTGAGAGAGAGAGAGAGAGAGAGAGAGAGAGAGAGAGAGAGAGAGAGAGAGAGAGAGAGAGAGAGAGAGAGAGAGGCTGAAGCAGTCGCTGTTCTTGAACACCCTCTTTTGTACTCAACACAATTCTTTTGTTTATTTATTCTTTTATTATATATATATATATATATATATATATATATATATATATATATATATATATATATAGAGAGAGAGAG